TAATCTGAATTTCCCTTCAAAAACAAACCAGCCTGCTACATAGATGTCGACGAGGATGACGACCAGGACCCGGAAAACATGATCGAGTCAAATTGGCGTTACTTACCCGACCTGGTACTGGAGCAAATCTTTACCTACCTCAGCCCCAAAGAGCGCTATTATGCAGGACTGGTGCGTATATACAAATATTAAGACAACTGCTGGTTTTTATACCTTTGTCTCAATCATGTGCCAATGAATTTCACGTTTTATAGGGAACATGATAAAGAGACTAGAATATAAGTATCAGAAATTTGTATTTTATTGTTCGTGTGGTCTCTCAACATTAAGGTTTTTACTTTCTTTTATTTATTATTGTGAATTTATAATATCTTCATTTAAATTAAATTGAAATTCATATAAGGCAATATTTCTATTTGTAGAGTTTTTAGAAAGCCCACAAAATGAAGTGCAGATTTTTGGGAAGCCACCCCTCACCAAGCATCGGTGGTTCAGTGGTAGAATGCTCGCCTGCCACGCGGGCGGCCCGGGTTCGATTCCCGGCCGATGCATAAGAATTTTTTTGTTTCTGACTCAAAACGCTAATTTCAATACCTTTTTTATGATTTGTAATGAATTCGCTGAACACATCGCAGTTTTTCTTTATCCAAAATACTTACAAAATATTTCAGGGCAATATAATAATGTTTACATTTCAATGGCATATTGGAGCTGACCTTTATAAAAACATACAAATAAGTTCATATGGCAATGATTCCTCTTATTTGAACCAAATGGCAGATGTTTCGCTTCGTAAAAGGCAGAAAATTTCCCTCGCTGTATCAGCAAATGGTTGTTTAACTGGCTTCACTGGGAGCATTTCATCAGATAAAATAATAATCCCAAACGATAGTTGAAAAAAAAAATTAATAATGTTGGAACGTGTTTCCTTCGTTTTTTTTAATATTTGTGAAGCATCAGGAAGCTGTAGATGACGATAGAACAATCTAATCTTGGCAAACAGTGTAGATATAGATCAAGATACTATGTTTTGACCATGTAAAAATCCTACAGATAACGTTTCTTAACTCTGTGATTTCTTGCAGGTTTGCCGCCAGTGGTACAGAGCCTTCTATTTGCCAACTGTTTGGAACAACTTCTTGGTGGATGATCGAACCCTCACGAAACCGAAGTTTAATTACTACTCCGGCTGGCAATTTTGCCTCGATCACATGCGTACCCAGTTCTGCCTGTCGAAAATCGGCAGACATATGCGGGGCATCGAGTTTCGTCCGTGGCACAGTTTCAACAACATCTTCCAGTTTATGACCATGTTGTCATGGAATATTGACAAGGTATACAAATAATATATTTATGAAAAATAAAAATAAAAATTTTAAACTATTTCAGGGCAGAGAGGAGAATCCTGGAACAGAGTTTATTGGCATAGGTAACCGAATTCGAACTCTGGTCTACCACTTCCCCTGCAATATGTCGCAGCCCAACGATCCAGAGGGCATCAAGCTTTTTGGAACTGGAGGACAGTTGCTGAGGGTCCTAAAGGAGTTACTTCTGCGATTGACGGACCTTCACACTCTCAAACTGGTAGACTTTGTATTGGAGCGTTACGAGGCGAATCACTTACTGGACGAGGTCGTCTGCAGTTGCTGCACCAAGATGAGGGTCCTCAATCTGGTGAATGTGACCACAATGCACTGCCCCATCATGCATGTGGGCCTGTTTCTCAATCTGCAGGTGAAAACGGATAAATTTCATTTGTTATCACAGTAGTGAATAAATGTTTTGATTTAGGTGCTCACCATATCGCCGCAGAACATTGATGACGACGTTCTATCCCTTCTGGCGGACACCAAGTTGCAACACCTGCACCTGCTGCAGAACTGCTACACACCAAACCACCTGACAATAAGTGCCTGCGGCGTGAAGGCCTGGCGGAATGTGAAGAAGACCAATCCGCGCCTGCGTGTCCACCTCCGAATGGAGAATCTGACGGACGGGGAGGTGGTGCTGCAGCCGGAGGCGCCTGTCCACAGCATCACATACTGCGCTCCGCAGACCCGGATCCGGGCCGAGCTGCTCGTCCGCATGGTGGACCACTACCGGAACACCCTGGCCGTCTATGGCCACGAGCTCCTGCCGCGCTTTTCCAGCCCCAAGCCCTTTCACAGCCGCATCGACAGTTTGATGTTGCTCATGTGCCGGCAATGCTACAATGTGGACACTCTGGTAAGTCCACTATAACATATGTCCAGCTTAGGGAAACAGATAGGCATTGCATCTTTTGATTTAGAAAATGCAATTCAATTTCTTCGGTATGGATAGCTTAAGTTTTTGGTAGCACATTAACTTAACTTTAATTTATGTCTTATTTCAATAATTGATACTTAAGTCAATATATTACTTCAAGCTGGTTAACCTAACCGATTTAAAAAACAATGTGGAAGGATTTTCATGTTAAAAATTAATGAAAATTATGAAATCATTTAAAATTTAGTAGAGCACATTGATTAGGAATTTGTTCATCAATTTACTATTTTATGACATTTTTTTAATATTTCTTTAAAAACTGATAAATATTACAGGTATAATTTGACAGTCTTATACCTATATTCACCAATTTGATTTAAAAATCTTTAAAATTGATGATAAATTTCGTAATATTTTATAAAAATCAGTAAAGTTATTTTATAAGAATGCATAAATTTGAAAGTTATATTATTGCCAAATAATTGTTTTGAACCCGTTTTTAGGAATTTCTTTAAAAACTGGCAAGTATTGTCATATGTTCCAAATACAACTTCAGACTATTTAGTAGTCTTATACGATTTGTAGCATATTTGATTTGAAAGTCTTGCAAATTGATGATTAATTTTGGGGGTTTTCCTTTAATATATCGGCGCGCACTTAACACCTTATCACCATTTCCCCAGATCATCCGCGAGAAAGTCTCCACCTCGACGCTTTTGCTTATTGCCCGAACAGCCAAGAACCTGCAGCATCTATATGTGCGGCGATTTGCGGTGATTCTACGTTGCGATTGGCCAAGACATCCGGAATGGAGCGACGAGTTCAACACCTGGCTGAAGCGAAACTCCCGATCCTACGAGGCCGTCGAGCGTGAAATCTCTGAGATCTTGGGCTACAAGTGGCGCCTGCTCAGCGACAAGGACTTCAAGCAACTGACTGTGAATGTGAAATCCGGAGCCTAGATGCCAAGGACTTAACGAATTCTGTATCCCCCTATAAGACTTGTGATAAACGGTGTGAAGCTTTAATAAATAACCCAAATATTAAAAACAATTAACAACTTGCAAGGGAGCTATTGAAATTTACTTAACTTTTGCTTCTGTTTGTCCACCTTGGTGGGATATTCCAATAAAACCCAGATGCCAAAATGATTTAAAAGCCAATGCATCCGAGGCGAATGCATCAGTTTGTTATTGAGCCACACCAGAAACATGAAAGCTGTGACCGCCCTCATCGGATTTTTATTCATCATTGCAGCTGCATTTGCAGCACCTCATCATAGAGGTGATCCACATTACGATCCCCACTACGATCATCACTACGATCCCCACCACGGACATAATTACGATCATCATTTCGATCCCCACTTCGATCTGCACCACCATTATCACTACTAATAAGTAATGAATTTTGAAAATAAAATTTGTTAAAATATCTTAAACTTATTAAATAACGCATGAAACCCATATATTTACAAACCTGCGAATTACCTTATTATCCGAAACTCGTGTGCAAAGTAAAGCAAAATATCGTGAGCAATTGCCAATTTGCATTGGAGGGGGATATACAACTCATGGAGCAATTCGCACCTTTCGGCAGGTGAAATTTGATTTGTTTTGTTTGTCCACGCTGGGATTGAAATCCCCAAAACCGTAGCACCATCGTGCTTAAAAGCCAACATCATCTCCTCGAATTCGTCAGTCAGTTGTGAAATCTTGCCAGAAACATGAAAGTTGTAATCGCTCTTTTCGGTCTTGTGTTCTGCATTGCTGGAGCAATGAGTACGCCAGTTATAGTTGGATTACCTCTTCCACTGCCGATTGGCGTCGGATTCGGAATACCTCCTCCACCACCACCACCTCCGCCCTATGGGTACTATCCGTCCCCTTATCACCACCACCACCATCATTCCCCTGGTTATGGATACGACTACGGATATAACAACTATGGATACTGAGAAACCCAGGCGTGGAAGTAGATAATTGATTTGAATTTTAAGGAGATGATCCTCTTATGATGACCCTCACCGAAACATAAAATAAATCTTAAATTATGTATTATTTATAAGAAATAAAAACTTTTGTATTTATTAAAAATGTTGTTACATGTGAAATAAGCTGGCATAGATATTTAAAACCCGAGAAGGAACGTTTTTTTGGAAAATATATTATGCTCGTTTTCCAAAAACATAATCTAAATACATTTTTTATTAGTTCTTATGAAGTTTTTATTTAGTTTATTGTTTGTTTACTGCGTATAAGCCATAAAAATATTAAATTCAAAATTTTAAATGGTACTAATTGTGTATAGTTGGGACTATCAATTATACTTATATATCACAACATATCACAACATATCCCAACATATGATAGAAATGAAGCAATGCAATAGTAGTGTCAAGCTAGGGAAACAGCAAAATCCATGATATTATTATAAATTCTTATGCATGTGTAAATTTTGGTACAGGTAGTCTACATTCCTGTGGCTTTCATGAAAGCCAAGCTTGGATGGGGTGCTTTCCCCTAGACAATTTATGGAAACTTGCCATAACCCCATTCTTTTGCCCCAAAGCTCCCGCAATTTTGAAGCTTTGGAAGCTTGCCCTTTGCATTTGACTTGCTGCAATGACCTTGAATGCAGCAAAGACCCCAAAAACAGCAACAACCCACTGGGGGGAGTGAATCAATGCAGCAGGAAAATTCAATGTCAGTGCCAAAGCTTCGTAGGCATTTAACCGCCTCCAAAACGAAATGGTATACTTTCGGGCAGTCGGCACATTACGTATACGTCGGTGGTCAGTGGAAGGCGCGATGATGGGTGGGCGATTCGTTATTGAAACAATAAATTTGTAAGAAGAAAACCAAAAATCAGGGGAGATAAATACGGCACTCACGAGAAATTGCGACAGGCAAGTGAGACAAATTTAGCCAAAGACAAAAATCTAAACCGCATCGAAGGAGATTCTCTGAGGAGAGCAAACTGTTGCTGCTGCTTCTGGTGGTGCTGCCACTGGGCCTGAGCCACTGGGTGGCTGTGGTGGCGCTGGTGGCGGTGGCAGTTTTTGTTTGGCGGGTGGCGGTGCCAAATGATGATCATGACCGCGTAGAGACGCAAATAAATATAATTGAAACACCTCCGAACTATAAGCAAATAGAACCCGACGACGCCACCGTAGTGCGGGCATTGTGTAACTGCAACGGTATCGTCAACATGAACAAAACTATTCTGCACTGGAGCTATCTGAACTTCAAGGATGTCCCGATGGACCTCTTCCTCTACGAGGATCTGGAGGAGGTCTATCTCAAGGAGAACTTCATATCGGTGATCCCCAAGTGGCTGCTAAACATCACCACCCTGAAGTTCATCCATCTGGCGGGCAACAATCTGAGTGAACTCCCCACCGATATCTATATGCTGGAGAACCTGGAGTTCCTGGACGTGTCCAACAATGAGCTCAAGGAGCTGCCCCCCACCCTTGGACTCCTGCTCAATCTTCAGCAGCTAAATGTTTCCGGCAATCAGCTCACCGAACTTCCAGTGGGTGAGTAGCGGTCCATATCTTGGAGTCCATGTCCGCTTATTCTACCTGTATTCAGAACTGAGCAGCCTGCGCAATCTGGAGCACCTGAACATCGCCAAGAACCAATTCCGCCGACTGCCCATCCAGCTGAGCGAGTGCGTCCGCCTCAACGAGCTAAATGTGAGCGACAACGAGGCGCTGCTCCACATCCCCGAGCGCATCTCCAACCTGCCCATGCTGCAGTCCCTCGCCGCCGATCGTGAGTAAAAATTTGGGAGCTGATCAGCTGGTCAGCTGGGGATCGGTATCCGTATCAAGAGAGACCCTCACTGATTTCTCTCGTTGGCAGGCTGTGCTCTCATCTATCTGCCGGCCGCCCTCTCCAAGTTCATGAACCATGTGCGCATCTTCCACAACACAGCCATCAACTACATACCCATGGTATACGAGAGGTTCTACCAAAACTTTTACGACAACCGCCAGAGAATCACTCCCATGTAAGGAGCTTATTTTATTTTATTTATTGCTGGGTATTGGCAATGTAATCTTTAAGTACAATGTTGCATCGATTGATTTGTTTGGCAACTACCTGTCTTCCCGTTTGATAATAACCAAATTTAATTTAGAATACTGCTAGAAAACAAAATCAAAGACCTATATGTATTCTTGGCTAGTTGCCTTTAAGCATGACTAAGGGAAATTTAGCGATCTATCATATTGACCTACTAGCAGTTAGTAAGCACGAAACGGACTGTTGAATATGTATTAAGAATGATAATAAATTAAATCGCTCTTTAATATTAGTTTTTATATAATATATTGATTATACAGAAGTGCTAAGATATCTCTTTCTACCAAATTCAAACGAAATTCGGCTAGAACAAAGATATGGTATGATATTATTGAAGTATTTTAAATAACCCATTTTTATAAGGACCTTCGGTTATTATTTTTTATAAAGACATTGAATATTTGTATTATGTTATATCTATCTAATAACCCGATCCCTGTTCTCAGCGCCGTTCATCGCAAGGGTCTGTTTTGGGTCCGCGAGCTGGAGACGAACACCAGGTTGGTACTTCCGGTGGGCACTCGCACAGTATTTCCGGTTCCCTCGACGGAGAACCGGGTCACGCTCTACGACGACTGCCTGCACGCCCTCCAATCGCTGAACCGCTCCTTGCCCGTCTACGAGAATGCCGCCCTGCACCGCCTGCTCCCGGAACCATATATCAGTTCCCATATCAACAACGGACCCATCGCCCGCTGCACGAATTCCACCTGCTCCAGATGTCTGTACACCTCGTACTACTTCATGGTCGTGAAGAGGTGGGTCGGAGTTACGCTTATGTTTGCCTGACGTTAGTCATGTGGTCATTGTTTTGATACCGTCGAAACCGGTCCGCTTTCTAATTGGGGCAAGTAGACCTATCACAACCGCAAGAAGTACAGTGAACGCTGTCTATAATGGAAATTCTGGCCATTATTATTCATTATTATTTTTTTTTACACACACTTTTGCACTTTTTTAATTTAATTTATCATAACTTTAAGAATTTTACAGCATCCATCCATCCAGCAATTCATTTTTAACTGAAATTTTTTATTTTTTTAAATCACCTTGTAAAGTTGGATTCCCCTATTTTATATAAATATCTAGACATTAAATTTTATGATCACTAATTAATTAATGAATTCTTTAAATTTATATATATTTTTTGGAACGAACTTATACCTAAACACAATCAGGTTCAAACCTGATCCATACACATTGCATCGAAACTTAAGGTACTGCGATTGACTTATTACAGATCGCGTTTAAAATTCATATTTTAGAGTTTCCTTCAAAATTGTGGCATATTAATCCTAATTTTCGGAATTCCTTATAGGCGTGGCAGCACTTCCAAGCAACTTTTCACCTGTAATTTTTGCACCAACCGATGTGCGCTCCTCTGGTTGACGAGCAATGACAAAAAGTACTACCAAGTGAATTGGCGAGTGTCAGATGATGACGACGATGATGAAGAACACGTGTCCAGTGGCAAGTAGAGCCAGTGAAAATTGCCTGACCTCGTTGTATATAATAATACATGTATAATTATTTAATTATTATCTTTAATTACCATTAATTAGTTTTGTACATGTCATGTAAATGCTATTGAACTACTGGCAACCGGCGCCATTTGTCCAAAGAGAAAGCTCCCGATAATCTAACCCTAGGCTTAAAGAAAACTTTGTGTGGGTCCCCGTTCATGGAGGTGTACGTAGTCGTCTAAAACACACTTATGGGCCTCCGGAAAGGCTTTTCGGCAGTCGACGCCATGACGACCCATCCTGAAGGCATCCAAATACGGCCCGTCTAGCGTTCGATGAGGTCTAAATGATAAATATAGTAGTCTCTGGTTTGAGTTCAAGTCGAAGTCATCTTACCTTAACAGCCTGTGTAGTATCTGGGCATAGAGTCCACTGTGCTCGTCCACCTGACCATTCTCGCATATCAAACGTTTCAGGCAGGCACTTCCATTCTGACCCAATTGATTCATATAACCCTCGGCGAACTTGAATAGCAAAAGCTGGGGTTCATCCACCAAAAGACGAGCAGGCACCGATGAAGGATCTGGCTGGGTCACAGGACCCTTGAGATTTCGCGAACTATCCCAGAGTTTCCACCAGTAGATGGGAGTTTGCGGCTCATTGAACTGGTAGTGGAAGTTCATCAGCCAGACCAACTGTCGCCAGACCTTTTTCTCCATAAACGGAACCGGAAATGCACAACCCGTAACAAACTGTAAAGATACAAGTTAATATTACTATACTCAATAAATATTTGATGTCTAACCTTGATAACACCGCCATTTTGATAAATTAGGAAGCGCTTCTGGCGCCTGTGATGATGCCAGGCAGTCAGATTGGCCTCCAAAGCACTCACAGCCTCCAGGGTCAAAAGGAAGAGTATAATCTTGGATCTAGTTTAGATGATGACTGGTCAGTTTAAGTTTCATAAATGTAATTTTTAGGTTCATTAACTCACAACAGGTTCATTTCTCCGCTTCTTGTGCTATCCGCTCGAGCTCCAGACACCATTTACCACCTCGGTTCTTACAGCTCCAATGCCATGGCATCGTTTTACTATAGTTTGTAAGCCCAGGCAGATAGGTGTATACATAGTGTTAGAGAGAGGTGAGAAAAAGCACGTGCTTCCGTGGGTTTCCTACTTTTGCCTGCCAGACTAATTAGCGAACACTGCGTCTGCGCCACCAGCCCATCGTCAGAGGTGGCCATGACTCTAGAAAGTCATTCGTCAGCGTCACGCATTCAATCACTGATTGAAATGCTTTCAGGCTCAACGACGACGTGAGTCAACTACAGGTGGCACTGTCACTTGAAGGATGGAATCGCTTGGTAAAGATGTAATTACAAGGACTTAGGACATTTTTTATTATTTTGCTTTTTCTGAATTTATTCATATTAGGACTATTTAAAAATATTTTCCTTTAAGTTGGTTAGTGGTAATTCCAAGGAATGAACTGAAAGTCACATCAAATACTGCAGCTTAAAAGTTCTTAAAGTATTCGTATTGTATTGCTTATATTGGAATTTAAATGTTAATATTTCCTTATCGAATCATGTTAGAGTTTTATTAGAACATGTGTTTATATGCTGGTACAACTTACAAAGAAAATTCTATGTGGAGGTCTAAGCTGACCCACTCTCTCCTTGGAAACCGCTACCAGTTGCAGTTATTTGACTTGTTGGCCAGTTGACTTTTGGGGCTGCCATGGCGAAGGCGCATTACCATAGTTCCGTTTGTTCCATTTATCGAATAGCAGCGGAAATGTCGAAACACTCGGGCCAGTCCAGTCCAGAATTCTGCTGCGTGGCGTTTACTGCCACAGAATTGCTTTTGGCTCCGAGACAAATGTAACCACAACGATTTGGCAAGGGAATTGGCAACAAAATTATTAGTACATATCTAAAAGACGACTAAATTATCTGCGAAAATGATGCGACTACCAGGAATGCCCATGCTGCCAGGCGCCCAGTTCTACGATGTAAGTGGTTCGCATATGTATCCTCCAAGATATTAAACTGAGACTACCGAACAGCGCGGCAAGCGTCGCCATCCGCGCCAGCAGACGTTGATGCACTACCAGGGCATTCAGATGCTATCCGACCGCCGGGAGCCGGAACTCGTGGAGCCCAATGGCATCGTGGCCGATCCCAAGTGTCCGCCTGTGCCCGCCCAGCTCAACAGTCTGTGGGCCCCGAAGGCCACCACCAAGCTGCCGCCCTGGCTGGCTTACGACAAGCAGGTTCTCTGCTTCAGCGCCTACTTCAAGGAGAATCTGACCGAGGTCTACCACGCCCCCTACCAGGTGCGCAAGGTGAAGATCTACTTTTACCTGGAGGACGGCACCATGCAGGTCACCGAGCCAAAGGTGGAGAACTCTGGCATTCCGCAGGGTTGTCTGGTCCACCGGCAACGCATCCCGAAAGCCCTACCCACCGACCGCGAGTTCATCTCCATCTTTGACCTCAACGTGGACACGGATGTGCAGATCTTCGATAGGGTCTACCACATCAGTGGATGTGACATCTTCACGCGCCAGTTCCTCAATCGAGCTGGAATCTTTGTGCCTGAGGCCCAGCAGGAGCCATGGTAAGATGGGCAGTACCCAGTATCAAATACACTATATCATTGAGTATGAGTATTATCCACTATTCCAAAGCCTTCTATAAATTCGATGAACCTTTCAAAAATATTAAAAGATAAGTTCATTTTAAATGTGAAGCTGTTAAAGTTTCAAAACTCCAACTATTTCTCCTTAGCGATCCCACCACAGAAATCCGAAAACGTTCCGGTTTGAAACAGACAGCTAGTTCCTGCTCCTCGGCTCTCCCCAAGAAGCATTCATTTGCCCAGTTCTTAGAATTCGATAGAAGAGTGCTGAAGTTCCAAGGTTATTGGAACGATCGCAGCGAGTTCGGCGATGTGCGGAAGCTGGAAATCTGTTACTATCTGGCCGATGATACCATTGACATTAAGGAGAAGTTCCCACGGAATTCTGGGCGAGAAGGACCCAGCACTTTTTTGAAACGAGACAAGCTGCCAAAGGAGTTTTCGGGACTCCCTTTGCCTGGCCAACAGACGGCTATGACGCTGCTCAATGTGCTGGGCAATAGTATGCGCGATGTGCGTTACGTAGCTGACCCGTTGAACACCGGGCAAAAACAGGTCCAGTACTACACCGATCAGGATCTGCAAATAGGTGCCGTGCTCAACGTCTTTGGAAGGGCTGTAGTTCTTACAGGTTGTGACCAGTTCACACAGAGTTACTACAGGGAGAAGGTAAGTTACGATAATTGATTAAATCCCATCCTGGGTAATTTGAAATAACTTATTATAATATTTATGACCTTAATTCAATTTATCCTTTATAGTACGGCATCCAGGAGTTCTGTGCTCAACCAATTCCAGAGCGAAGTGATATTCGACCGTACACCCAAGGTGGCATGGGATCCCGTAGGCTTCCACCCTACAATGGGTGGGGTAGCCATGAGGACTCGGAAGGCAACTGTATCACTGTGGAGCCCAAGCCACCGCAGGCAGACTTCAAAAAGCTTTTTAAGTACGATGGCTGCATCTTGCGCTTTGGGGCAAAGCTCATCTCGGCCATTCGAGACAATGGAGAGCGTGATTTTATTATCAGCTACTTCCTGGCCGACGACACGGTCCAGATATACGAGTCTTCACGACGAAACTCGGGATTTCTGGGCGGGGAGTTTCTTAAAAAAGCCCGTGTTCCACTGCCGGGTCAGAATATGTTTAGCTCCTCGCGGCCTGAGTACTACAGGGCCAATGACTTCTATATAGGACGCACCATGACTCTTAAGGATCACATTTTTCACATAGTTTCGGCTGATGAGTTCACGCTGATGTACATGGAACAGCATCCCAGCGAGGTACAAATGTCTTTTTGATATAACATTTACTACCAGCACAAAAAAGTTTCGATATTGTTTTAATTGTGATTCTTTTTTTTGCAGTTCCCCGTAGCGGACATTCGACTGATTATGCAGAAGATCCGCGAGGCAGTGCGTCCGGACTACAAGCAATTTGTGCTGCGCTGCAAGCCAGATGGAGACCTCGGGGACTTCACCACAGTCAGCTTCGATACGCTGCGCTCGACTCTCCTGTCTTATCTGTCCAAGGATTGCCTGCTCAACCATGAAATAGTGACCGTGTGTCGCTTTTTCTCGGCTGAGCAGGCAATGCCTCCCAGCTGCGACAGGAATCGAGTGCGAGCTGCCGCCCAACTGGAACTGAAGCGAGCTTTATGGAACGGCGTGGAGCAGCTGAACGACCACCTGGGCCACATCAATCCCACATGCAGGCCATACATCAGCGAGGCTCAAGTGAGGTCCACATTGCGAGGTTGCCGGCTGCCCTTTAGTCTGGAGCTTGTCGAAGACATCTTGATGGTGCTACAGCGTAATGGACAAAACGAGATCGAGGTGCGCGACTTCCTGGCCTTCTTCAACATGCGCAGCGACCAAGTGCCCGACATTGCTCCTCTCAACATTGCCTTCGAGCTGTGCCCCAAGCTGCCGTTCCTGCACAAAGGCCGCCTGGTCGATTTCACCTGGTTCCTGGACTACCTGGGCCTAGAGGAAGAACTGAAGCGAGCCAACAGTTAAGGAGTGAAGAGGCGTATCAAAAATTGCATGTATATACAGAAAAATTCGTGGCAATATAACTTTCGGAATGGTGAACTTTGTGCTTAAGACCTAAACGTAGATGGTATCCTACAGTTTTGACTCCGTGAGCCAGTTGAAGGACTGCGGCTTGCGATCGGATGACGGACTGATGGCCACATTGATGATGGTTGGCCTGTCCTTCAGCTGGTTGGCCGCCTTGACAGCCGCCTGCAGCTGTTCGATCTCCGTGCAGAAGTAGCCCTGCATGCCGAACATTTTCATCATCTCCTCGTAGCGCACCTGAACGCCCAATGCCGAGGGTGGTGTACTGCAAGATAAGATTAGCCGTAAGTAGTTGTACCAGATAAACCGATAAGCTACCAGCACTCACATTTGGGTAAGATCGCCCTCACTGCGAATGGCCTCAAATGTGTCCTTGTCGAAGCCGCCATAGATGCCGTTGTTGTTCACAATCAAAATGGTCACGGGCAGCTTGTACCGCACCATGGTCTCGATCTCCATGCCCGAGAATCCAAAGGCACTGTCGCCCTCCACGCACAGCACACGCTTTCCGGGGGCAAAGTCACGGCAGTAAAGAGCGGCGGCCACGGCGAATCCAGGACCCACTCCCATGGTGCCAAAGGTGCCGGCATCCAGGCGGTGACGTGGCTGCTCATTCAGCAGCATAGAGCGACCAATATCCATGGTGTTGGCCCCTTCACTGACGATGATCGTGTCCTTGGGCAGCAGCTCGCGGAGATGGTGGAACACCGCGTAGTAGTTGAGCGGCGTCTCCGTGTTCGAGTACATCTTTTGCACAGCGTCGCGGTTTTGCTTGCACTTGATTGCCAGCTGCTTCCACCAATCCTGTTCGTAGCCGAATCGGAAGTTAACGGCGTTCATCTGCTCGAAAAGTTGCTCGGCGAACGGGCGGATGTCCGCCTGAATGGCCACCGAAGCCACCACCGAGTTGTGCAGCTCCTCGGGGTTGATGTCCACCTGGATGAACTTCACATCCTTGTCGTAACGCGGGGCCTTGCCGAAGTGAAGGATCCAGTTGAGTCGAGCGCCCAGGAGCAGTACCACATCGGCCTTCTGCAGGGCCAGGGTTCGAGCAGAAGAAACGCACTGCGGCGCCGTGTCGGAGACCACGCCCTTGCCCATTGGGGTGGGCAGGAAGGGAAGGTTGGTGTTCTCGATAAAGTGCCGCAAAGTGTTCTCGGCATGAGCATAGGCGGAACCCTTTCCTATGATCACCAGTGGTCGCTTGGCTTGGCGCAGCAGCTTGGCGGCCCGGATCACATCATCGTGCGGGGGATAGGCGAGTGGCGGAGCCGGATGGGCCAGGGCCTTGTAGATGCGGGCCTCCTGGGCCTTGGACTGCAGGATATTGCCGGGGAAGTCCAGATAAGCCACTCCAGGGCGTCCGTAGGTGGCATACCGCACAGCCTTCTCCACGTGCAGCGGAATGAGGGCAGCGGTGGCCGGACGGGCGGCGTACTTGCAGTACGGACGCGACAGCTCCACTTGCGGGCACTCCTGGAAGCCGCCGATGCCCTCGTGATCCTGGTTGGTGGCCCCACCGATGACGACCAGGGGCCAGCAGTTGACCTGGGCATTGGCCATGCCACCTGATTGTCGGGTGAAGAAGGATTAGTTATGATCAACTAAACCGGTATATCTTATCCGTAGACTTACCTGTTACATGGAGCAGTCCGGGTCCGGACACCACCAGACAGACACCGGGCTTTCCAGTCAGATAGCCAATCGCCTGAGCAGCGTAGCAGGCGGCCTGCTCGTTCCTCATTCCGATGTACTTCAGCCCGGCGACCTGGAAGGCCATGGACAGTTCGATGACCGGGATGCCGATGATGCCAAAGACATACTCCACGCCCTATTTTCGGATTTAGAGATAATGTAAGATTATTTACAGTTTCCACCCAGTCGTCAATCAAACGTGCAATCGCTAAACACTGGGTATTTTTAGATCAAATCACTAGCCAATGTGCAAACACGTTCTTAAGTGATTTGCCCGGAATCCGGTTAAAGTTTTATTGATTTTAATCTGCCCCCCGGCGATAATCGCCGCTGCAAGCACCAAGGTGTTTAGGTCGTGGTACCAAACCTTTGGAACACGGTCTTTATCAAATCCGTACCGACTTTTATGAACGGGAGTAATCGGGGACCCAGTGCCAGCAACAACAGCTAGCAAGTGTTTTTGAACTTTGCACAACAAACAGGTGCCTTTAGATAAGAGAACACTCCATTGTTCTCGCCAGCTCCATCGCCCCCTCGATTTGGAAAAGATTTTCCCACATTTTCGCCGCGGATGCGAGTGCAGAAAAGTGCATTGCAAAAATGTCGGACAAACGGACCGACGTCTAGGTGATCCTCTTACCTGTTGCTTCAACGACTCGGCAATGATCTGCACGGCTTCAACCTCGGCCATTTTGCGCGCTTTTAAGTGTTAATTGTGCTAGAAATGTATTATGCGCCGCCGCGTTACCTTGCGTACTGGCTTAAGAATTTGTTAAACAAATTAAAATAGTCCAACAAAAGAGGTGACCAGTGACCGCGGAATTATCGATAAGCTAGTCTGACTAAGAAATATACCGTTTTTATTCATTCTAATATACCAAAAAATATTCAAAACGGCCACACTGGAAAATCGATATCAACATGGATAACATCGATTAATTCGGTTGCGCGGGAACTTCTATACGATAGTTTTAAACAAAGATTTTGTTGCAATTGGAGTCGAGTGCGATAGGTTAGGTCGATAGGGCGATAGCTGCAGCAGCGGGATGAGTCTGGCGGGCGATCTGGCCATTTGAAGATTAATCCCGGTTCGCTCTGGGATTACTTCAAATGGCCCATATATCCAATGACCCAATGTTGAGAGAGGCCATGTAATATGGCGGGGGGGCGATGATCAGCACAGATAGTCGCGGCCATACTGTCCAACAATCAAGGCAGATGCAGCTAGGAGTGAGAGTATAAATTTTCTTTGTGCTTTAATAGTGAGTTATGTTAAAGTTCTATAGTAGTTCGGTATTTAATATGTATCATTTATAAAGGCAGCCGGGGTCCCAATACAAAGGGCCCCGGAAGAATTTATTTGGAGTTTTACCGAGATCGCCATACTTCGCCATACCTACCAGCCCGACTTGGCTGCCCAGCAACCGGTGTTCGTTCGACCCGGGCCAACGACCATCCAGAAAGGCCTTCCACAGTCGACGCCGACGACGTCAACATTTCCCGGTGAGTCCGTTCCGGCGTACCGCGTCCTCCTCATCTCGGTAACTTCCAGCGGTCGCATTGCGGCGCTGAGAAGTATCGCCATTTTGTCTGGCAGCCGAATCTCGGACTGCCCTTACACAACTCACCGGAGAGCGCCGTTTTCCCGTGTGGAGATCCGTATGGCTGCTGGCCTCCGACGGAAATTCATCACCCGGCCCAACAGTGGCTGAAACTTAGGAGAAATTAAATACACGTGTACCTCGATTGTATATATTGATATCTACTTACCTGTTTGTGAGTTTATCCGGAGTTAGACCCGAGAGCCTTATTTGTCCTCGTTGTTTGCCTAAAATTTAAAAGGTCGCGAGCATTAGTTAAATGGTATAGCTTACAGTGCATTTACGTACCTTTTTGGCCTGTCCCTTCTTTTCCCTTGGAGCAACTCAGGATTAGGTGACCATACACACGCGCATCGCGCATGTTCCTTTGAGGGCCGCGTTTCCATGCGAGCTCTACCAATACATGGCTGGTAGAGCATAGTTTTCCGCGGCGCCTGTACCCTTTTCCAGCAAAACAAATCCTCTGCTTTGACAGCGTAAATATCCGAGACGGCGGCCAGGTTTCGGTCTTAAAGGCTGAGGAAGGATAAATCTGTTAAGAGGAGCATGTATGTAAACGATTGTACTTACGATATTTATCAAACCATTATGTAAGAATTAAGAAAAAAGTATAAAAAAGGTTTCAGAAAAAAATTAAATTGGTTTTTTATTAAGTTTTGTTAAGTGATTAAGTTAACGAAAGCTGAAAAATAAAACTGCTATAAGTAGAAAAGTTTTATTAAAGTACCAACTGGTAATGGTATAGATATTTTTAACCGGACTTTTAATTTTTCCAAAAGATCATCGATTCCTTATTTATAACCTTTAAAGCCAAACACATAAAAATAAATACGCGTTAAACGCAGATTGTTTACTGCCATGCTTTTCTCGGTTGGTGAGACTTCTGAAGTTGGTAATTGATATACAAGCGATACGTGCAATAGTAGAAAAACTCGACCACAGAAATCATGCTGAGTCCAAGGCAGAGATTAAAGATGCCACCCAAATCGGCTGAAAATGATTAAAGTTAATCCCGTAGTTCCCAAAGGATACCTCCACTTACATAGCAGTCCTATCCATGACATTACGGTTACTTTTCGGATAACTGGGACAACTTGCTTAGCCAAGTAGACTCGGAGCACGAAGCTGTCATTGTTGATCATGTCCGCGGAGCTGTTGGGGAACGAATTATCTAATAACCGATAAGCCGAAAAGGTTGACATTACTAACTAGAAGCGGTTCATGGAGAACGGATGCTGGTTAAGATCCGTTTTGTACGAAAGCGTGGAATAGGTAACATCATAGCAATTGGGAAGGCATTGGTCACATCGCACACTTTTGAAGTTGTCTACGGAATGGTAATTTAAACAAATATACTTAGAAGACCACTCTGAGACCATATCTTTTAAGAATGTAAAAAAATAATATATATATAACACAATAAAAAATAATTTACAACTCAAGAATAATTTATAGATACCTTTAAATGACACACATTAGAGGCAGTATAATTATCGCAATGAAATAATTTAACAACCAATACATTTTTTAAATTTAATACCTTGCAGTTTCACAACATGCTTGGCTTCTGGGGTCCTTATAAACTACATTCATAATGAGTATTTAGTGTAAACTCTAAAGAATTCGCGATTGAATACTTGGTAAGTTTTTTGTAGAGTGCCACAGAATTTTAAAAGTATTTATAAAAACTATTGGATTAGAAGGTTCTTATAATACACTCACCATAGTTATCTGAGTAGCAGAAGGTATCGTTCAGGTTGCACTCCTTGTACTTGTTGCCCACGATGGGCAGCAGATATGGATGGCAGCCACACTTCTGGACGATGGCCTCGGTCTGGCAAGCGAGCAGGCAGGCGGCCTGGCGATAGTTCCTCAGCTGCAGGTCGTCCGAAGTGAGGCAGTCCCGCTTCCGTTCCGAGAGTTCCAGGACCTCCACCGAGGAGCTCTGCACCGTGGGCGAAACCTCCACAAAGCTCTCGGATCGAGCGGTGATGGTAACCGAGGATGCCGACTCCGTAACATAGTCCATGGGATGGTGTACAAGGACGATGAGCCCTGTGTTCAGGTTTCGCTCGCTGCCCTCCGCCCCCACGAAGGTCAGGCCGCCGTCCATGCCGAAGATGTTGGCCGAGAAGGGCACAAAGGTGGCATTGCGCGGATTGTAGTTGAAGGAGCAACAGGGACCCAGGTAAGCCGTCGTGGGAATGAAAGATAAGTACTCGTGGCTCTGGTTGCACTGGAACTCCGTGTGGCCCCAGAAGCAGCGTTTAACGTAGTCCGAGCAGCCCGGACTGACGGCCATTGCCGCCTCCCAGGTGCTCACATTGTTCAGCCGGAGCACAGCGTCTGTGGCCCGATAGCTATCGTGCACCGGCGGCTCAAAGCTCTGATCCGTGAAGGCGTTGAGGAAATCAAAACCGGCGGCCACATCTGCAATGTCGTACTCCTGGGGAATCTTACTAAATAGGAAACAGGACTGTAAATATAATCCTGGATAGATTTTCGAAGCTCCTCACAGCGTTTTCACAAAGCGTTCGACCCTTTCCGAGTTAACAACCTTCGGACTGCAAATGGTAACGCCCGGAAAGGCAACGTCCGTGATTGAGAGGTCATTGGAAATGGTGTTCAGGATGGGGTAAGAGTAGAACTTGAGCCACAGCAGCAGGGTGAGATAAATGCTCAGCAGGAGCAGTTGCAGCAGCACCGAGGACCAGATGAACCTGGACAGGCCGTAGGTGCGATTCCGTCGCATCAGCCATATACCGCTCACCTTGGTCCGCTCCGTGTACTCCCAAAAAGTGGCGAGCGTGGCCGCCTTAAGAGGACTTGGGTCCTTTCTCTTCTTCCTGCTGTCTTTGCCTTCGGAGTTCCTTTTTCCAGGTGACGGCCACTTTCCCGGTTCTATCATTTCGAACTGTCTGGACCTGGACACGAAGCGACGGCTTTTATAAGCCTAGTTGGTGTCCTTAATGCCCCGAAGTTTTGGGTTATAATTATGGGTTTATTAAGTGGCGAACTTGTCATGGCAGAATACCTCATTTGTTGTCACCATTAGCAGTAATTATAGAACTCTACAAGTTTACCGGTGAATCGATAAACATGTTCCTCTATAAGAAACGATTCCATAACAAAATATTGAAGCAATGTTTATTAAATACATTGGTATTTACTTTTTTTAAAAAATCGAGATAAGCGGAATCTGATCCTGATAACAAAGATTTTTGTGAGGCATCACTATGAGATCATAAAGGCTAATCTAATATTAATGGTTTCCATCTTCGTTAATGAAAAATTTCAAGGTTCAAGATTTTCCTTATCTTTATAAAGATATTGCTGGGAATAGGATTTTTTTTATAAGTTTAAGTTGAAATAGACAAATTTTACCGAAATACAAGTAGAAGTCCTAAATATGATATATTCAACATATATGAAAACATGTTTAAACAGCTGGTTATATTTGCCTTATAGCAATTTTCTTATTTTGCTTAATGTCTGTGACTAACCATTTTAATTTTGAATTTAGAATGAAATTTCACACCTAATAAATTGCGCATTATCTTCACTGATAACCTACTAAAAAACTCGTATGCTCATGACGTTAATTCGCAATTAAAAGCGGCAATTTGTTAGTTCAAAGTGTCCTCAAATTTGATTAGCATATGACTAATCATGAGTGTCAATTCCGTTTTTTAGCATGAGTGCCTAATCGAAAAATGTTCTGCAAAGAGCCCCCAACCAGTTCGCCAAATTTTTTCCCCCCAACCAGGCTAAGGTCGTTGTGCCAATCTAAGACGAACTGGTTTCGAGATCAACTGACTCGTGACTCACAATTCACGTGCACTTAATAAAACCATTATTTATTAATAATAAATACTCTGCTAAAGCTTTAATAGGACTCTCCATAATCAGATACACTTCGTAGTTATGGCATAATACTAAGAATACAAAATCACAGGTGATTGCCAGGGCACAAACTACAACTTTGTGTTGACAATATCCTCGCGCGACTCGGTGGTTTGAACCTCGTTCCACTTCTGGATCTTGCCCGATCCGAAGACCCAGAAGAATAGGGCGGGCAATATATAGGCAGCTGCTCCAATCATGAAAACCCAGTGCCACTGATCGATGGTGTTCTACGGGGGATTGAACAATGTTGAATAAATCAATAATGCTGATAAGGTATTTTAAGAGTGTCCCCACAAACCTCGTTTTTCGTGAAGGCGGCCACGATCAGGGGCGAGAAGATTCCTGGAGTAGTGCCAATGCAGTTGATGATTCCATACAACGTGCCCGCGTAGTTGGGCGCCAAATCCTGCGAATTGGCCAAATTGGAAGCGGTGGCAGCACCGTTGAAGCCCAGCGAAATAGTCATTATGGCCACGCAAACGTAGGGATCGCGACCGAAATAGGCCAGGATTATCAGCATAACGCCGGGCAAGATGTGAGCTGTCCAAGAAAAAATAAGCAAGCTTTAGAAAAAATTGTATATAAATAATTTAAATCCACTTACATGGCAGACAGAAGGCCTTGCGCATACGGGTTACAGATAACCAGCCTCGGCGACGAATCCAATCCGCCACGGCACCAAATCCGAAGGCACAGATAAGTCGAGCCACATGTGGCAGACTGGACAGGAAGCCGGCGGACGAGAGGTTGAAGCCCAGGACCTCGCTCAAGAACTTGGGCGTGGCCGTGATCAGGAAGAACAGTCCCCACATACTGCCGTAGTGGAGCATCATTAGAGACCAGAAGGGAAGGGAAAGGACGAGCTCCTTGTATGGAGGCCACTTCTGCAAAAGGAAAACAAAATATTTAAAAAAATATGTCCACGTAAAATGGTTAAAACCATAGGTTTAAATGAAATGTTTTAAAATTATACTTATGAAATGTTAACTACTTGTTAAACAAACATTGATATGTCTGATAATCCCCAATGTTATTCATAAAAACATATTTGCCAAACTAATGACGATAGAGAAAAGTGATCTAATATTTAAAAACAACTACGTAACAATAATATATGTAGGAAAATAATTAAAAATAGTTAAATATTACATATTATCGATTTAAACAAAAGTGATCTCTTAATCAACTTACCTTCTTGTTGCTTAGAGTGCTGCCCAAGCTGTTCTCGATGTATTCCCGTTCCTTAAGGCTGATCGAGCTGTGCTGGGCCGGAGAATCCGCCACCAGGTAGAACCATATAGCCACCACGATCAGCACAAATATGCCTACAATGTAGAAGGCCCAGTCCCAGCCCAGGTTCTCGATAATCACTCCACTGATTGGCCACGTGATCACAGTGCCAAAGGTTCCGCCCATCAGCGAGGCCACAAACTTGCCCTTCTCGTCCGGAGGCGACCACTTGGACACCAAGCTGTGGCAACATGGATACACCACGCCGTTGAGGAAGCCGATCAGGAATCTCACGGCGAACACCGCATATTTGTCCCAGGCAGCTGCCGCCGGAGTCAGAGCCGTAAGGATTCCGGCCACCAGACAACTGTAACCGGCAACATTTCGGGCTCC